TTTTTTTTTTTTTTTTGTCTTTGTCTTTTTGAGACAGGGTCTCCCTATGCAGTTCAGGCTGGGTTTGAGCTCACTTTGTAGCCCAGGTTGTGCTCGAACTTGCAATGATCCTCCTGCCTTAGCTTCCTGGGTGCTGGGATTGCAGGTGTGCACCACCACACCCGGCACCCAATGTCATTTTTAATGCAGAAGATTTCTGTACAATTTACCATATAATATCAAAATAAGGGATCTAGTTTTAACAATTTAATATACTCCTATTATCTGTTTTGGTTGGGTCTGTGAACTTAAAATAGTTCTCAACTACCAACCTACCATTTAAACTATATTAGTATTTGTTTTTATTTACTTTTTTTTTTTTTTTTTTTGGAGACATTGTTTTGCTGTGCAGCTCAGGTTGGTTTGAACTCACTTTGCAGGCCAGGCTGGCCTCAGACTTGCAGGCATCCTCCTGCCTCAGCCACCTGAGTGCTGAGATTATAGGTGTGTGCCACTGTGCCTGGCTAGTATTTGTTTTTAAAAAGATCTTTATTGTATGCTTTTGCCAAAGTTGATAGAAAAAAAGGGCTAAGTTTTAAATTTGAATGGAAGCATGAGTTGGTAGTATATGAATCAGTGAACTGAGTACTTTAGATTTTATTGTTTTTATCATTCATTCATTCACTCACTCACTCATTCATTCATTCATTCATTTAGAGACAGGGTCTCATTGCATAGTTCCGGCTAGCCTCAAACTCACAGTGATCCTTCTGCCTCAGCCTCCTGAGTGCTGGGATTACAGGTGCGCGCCACCGTGCCTAGTTAACTGACTCTTTATTTACAGGTTCAAGCCAGTTTTACTAGTGAGGTACAAATGACAGGTGCTTTTTTTTTTTTTTTAATACCTATCCAGTCCTATGTTCAAGTGTTCCCTTTAAAGGTTTTGTGAAGAGATATATGTCCTTTATCTCCTTCCAGCGATGTGCATTTTGTAAGCACCTTGGAGCCACTATCAAATGCTGTGAAGAGAAATGTACCCAGATGTACCATTATCCTTGTGCTGCAGGAGCTGGTACCTTTCAGGACTTCAGTCACTTCTTCCTTCTTTGTCCAGAACACATTGACCAAGCTCCTGAAAGATGTAAGTTTACTTCAGATATATTTTAAAACTGTTACCATTGTGTTTACTTACAATAGCATTGGTGATATTAAAAGTGATGTTCACAATCCTGATAGTCTGAGAGATCTTTGCTGTAGGTCCTTAAAGAGAAATTTGTTATCAACAGTTTCTTTGAAATTAATTTTAAAAAGTTACTTCCTTAGAATTCAAAGAGAGGTTTTATATTCTTATTTAAAAGATAATTTAAACCCTGTAGAAATACAAACCAAGTAAGCAGTATTTCTGGTATGTATTATAGAGCAGTTTATTGAGAGGCTAAGTAGTATTCCATGTCTTAAAAAAAAAAATAGTACCGAGTGAGAAACTTCGAAGCTGACTTTCTCCAGTATGATTTCAAGATATCTGTTAAATGCTTACTAAATTCTCGAACACTGTGGCCTTGAGAGTGTGATACGGATCTCTGTACTGCTTCTTCCTGACCTGTCTGCCTTGGTTATGTGTAAGCTGTAGTGGTGCTTTTTTTACCCCAGCAGTATTTTATAATCTTAAAATTCATTGAAAATGTTTAAATGTATGAATTCTATGTTCTACAGGAAATTATAACTTTTTACTATTTTATCATTAAAGATACTGTCTTTTCACTATATGAATTTCTAAGGCGATACTGTTTTTTCACTGTATGGATTTCTAAAGAGTATATATGCTTTGAGGCCTTGTTTCACCTAGTACATTTTATTTTCAGTCTCACTAGAAAATCATGATGTTTTATTCCCCTTTTTTTATATTGCCTCTTACTTAATTGCTAGCTTTTACCTGTTTCTTAATAATATTGATGAAAGTTTTTTTTCCTATTTTCACCAAATCTATGAAATATTAATATAGCTACTTTAGGTTTAACTTAAAATAATTTCAAATACAGTTAGACTATACTGTTACTTTTTATCTTTGTTTTATTTCATCTTCAGTTAAAATTATTTTGTGTCCACAAATGTAGTAGTATGCCCCTTTTCACTATAGAGGCTCAAATTATAGATAGGGCCAACGGAAATTTCAAGTTTATATATA